CTGTCACTGTCGCTGTCACTGTCGCTGTCACTGTCGCTGTCACTGTCGCTGTCACTGTCGCTGTCGCTGTCATCCATGAGTGCGTTTTGGATTGTCGTTCGTAACATAACAAACTGTTATTCTTTGTTTTTTTTTCCTTTGTCTGTTTTCAACCCACTGTACAACCCAAGGCCTATTTTACGATCTTGTAAACAAATCACGTTTGCACTAGAGCAAAAACTCCCGCGTTATGTACAATCCGATGCTTTACATATTTACATGCATTAGAGCCAAAATCTTGATTCATATATTGTGGTCTTTCTTATTAATGATGTACGTAGGGCATGGTGGGTCTTATCCTTTCCATCCGAGTATCCTACCAAGTGTTCCAATAAAAATTATAAACACAAAACGCGAACCACGGAAAGCAACTACGCCACTTGTTTTGGATCCTTCAATGGATGGTGGTAACGGTTGCTTGGAAAGCAGTGTGGGGAAATATGAATTCCAGAAGGCAATTCTGATTGGATGATATTTGCTGGTCATGAAAGGATTCTTCTTGATTTTCAGGTACGCTTTGCTGGATGAATTAAACATCTCCCATTGGGTGCCATAAACAGAGGTGGGAGTAGGTTGACCAAATTTGGCAAAATTAAGGTAAATCGTGGTCATCAGGTCACTTACATTTCTGTCCTCATCGTCGTCAAAGCTCAGCATACTTCTGGGAGAACTGAGAAGTGGTAGACCAAACTTGTAGGCTGTTGTATCTTCGTGGACGACCCCCATCCATTCAGGCTTTGGATGGTATTTAGAGCGATGAGCAAACTCAAACATATAGGTAGGAGCCCCGTGATCACTGTGTAAGGTTAAGGCAGCATGAGTTGGTGCAACTATGAAATAGTCGGTATTCAAGTCAATCAGCTTTTTACGAATCCTATGAGAGTCGGTGACGTCCACCCAGGGTGTGTACTGGAACACTAAAGCATTATAAGCAGCGCTGGTGTAACTATTTTTATACTGGTCATGGTATTGTCTGCTCAGAAACTCTTTCAGGTCTTCTTTAAAGCCATGGAGGTTGTAGTTAGTAAAGTTTTTGGATTGCAAAATGTGTGCACCTTCTTGGCTGACAAATCCTGACATGAAAGGAAGCTTATGAAATTTCCCGTTTTTTCTTAACTTTTCCGGCTCGTCAGGTAGAAAGTGGTTGTCTACGAAAGGAGACATATGATGGAGACTTGCTGATTTGTTTAAAATAATTGAGCTAGATAGAGATCGTAAACATTTCATCTTTTCCTCAGAAGTTTTTCTTCCGCATTCCAAGGTCTCGGCCAATTTATTGCTGCCTTTCAATACCACAGACTTTGGATTGTAAGCAAAGGGAGAAAAATCCACACCACTCACTGCAATACCTCGATGAAACAGTCCTTCTGAAAGAGGTGATAAGTAGTGTAAAGAAACACTAGATCCTCCTGCGCTTTCACCAAGGAGAGTCACGCTATTCTTGTCGCCACAAAAACCCTCGATGTTTCGTTGAACCCACTTGAGGGCCTCTACCTGGTCAAGAAGGCCCATATTTCCAGGTGCCTCGGAGTCCCCGGTAGTAAAAAACCCAAATGGTCCAAGCCTATACTGAACAGTGACAAGAACAACATCGCGTGTGGGCAAATATTCGCCTGGGGATATATCACGAACAGGAGTACCTGCGACATAGCTTCCTCCGTGGATATAAAAGATAACTGAGTACTTTTTCTTGCAGGATGTTATTGATGGGGTGTAGATGTTCAGGTACAGGCAGTCTTCGCTCATATCCTTCTCATGATCAAATCCAGGCCACGCAGTTAGGATAGATTTGCCATAATAGTCGTTATTCTGAAGACAAATTGGTCGGAAATACGTGGCATTATAAATGCGTACCCTCTGACTCTTGAGAGATTGTGGGCGTTTGAAGCGAAGATTGCCTATTGGCTTTTCGGCGTATGGAACGCCCAGGAACTTGTAGACGGGTTTTATCAATCCCTTGTAGTCCTGAATATCTTGTCGTGTTCCCCACATATGGCCTTGCTTGGTCCGAACAACGTTTCTTGCAGACCCGAACACGACGATATGGAGTACCAGTAAGGCAAGCGCAAACATATTGTGCGTAGACGACAMTAAACGGCAAGCGATGAGTTAAGCTCAGCTCAGTCCAACTGTTCAGTCCAACTGGTCGGTAAAGCAGATAAACCGTTTTAATGAGGTTGAACACGTTGATTAGAAAAATTGATAACACACTGACGAGGTGAGCTGAAAGTCACTGCGATGCACGTAACAAGCCTTCTAGGGTTCGATTAACAAAAGATGCTTGCACTTGAGATCAGTGGAAAATATTAGATAAATCTTAGTCAGGAAATCATAGCTATTATACGCGGTTAAGATCACAGAAGGGGATCCAAGTGTATTGCATACACAGGAAATGAACTAAAGGGTGTGTTCACTGGCACAAGAGTTGAGCTGAGACAAACCAAGAGCGAAAAAAGAAAAACATCAACAGCAATCCAATTTACTCAAACGAAAATCAATATGCTTAACGCAATAATGACCGGCTCTCTGTAAGGAGATAGTCATTATGTTATCTGGCTGGCTTAGCAAAACTTCCGGATTGATAATTATAGTGTAGTTAGTTCGAAATCAATCGTCTCCTGAACTAAGTTTATGACTGAGTTTATCGCTAATGTCGTTTATATGCACCTCGGAAATTTCACACCATCCTAGCAAAACGAAGGAAGATAACAAAATCTTGAGAAAATTAAATGCGGTCCAAAATGTGGTACATTGGCTTTTTCGTTTGTTTTTGTTTTTCGTTTTTGCTTTTGTGTGTGTGTTTTTTTTGTGTGTGTGT